TGTATGTATGTATGTATATATATATGTGTGTGTATGTATGTATGTATATATATATATGTGTGTGTATGTATGTATGTATATATATATGTGTGTGTATGTATGTATGTATATATAACACTCTGGATGAGCTTAAGGCCGCTATTGAAGCATCCTGGGCCTCCATAACACCTCAGCAGTACCACAGGCTGATTGCCTTCTTGCCACACCGCATTGAAGCAGTCATTCATGCAAAAGGATTCCCGACCAAGTATTGAGTGCATAACTGAACATGATTATTGGAAGGTTGGCGTTTTTTGTATTAAAAACACTTGTCTTTCATTGGTGGGATGAAATATGCAAATTTTTTGGGACAGGCATTTTGGGTTTTCATGAGCTGTATGCCATAATCATCAGTATTAAAACAATTAAAGACCTGAATTATTTCAGTTGGTGTGCAATGAATCTGAAATATATGAAAGTTTCATTTTTATCATTACGTTATGGAAAATAATGACCTTTATCACAATATTCTAATTTTTTGAGAAAGACCTGTATATATATATTTATATAGATGGATAGATGGATAGATAGATGGGTGGATAGATAGATAATGTATATATACAGTGGGGAGAACAAGTATTTGATACACTGTTGATTTTTCAGGTTTTCCCACTTGCAAAGCTTGTAGATGACTGTAATTTTTATCGTACTCTTCAACTGTGAGTGATGGAATCGAAAACAAAAATCCAGAAAAATACAATGTATGATTTTTAAATAATTAATATCCATTTTATTGTGTGAAATAAGTATTTGATACACCAGAAAAATGAAGCTTAATATTTGGTACAGAAACCTTTGTTTGCAATTACAGAGATCAGACGTTTCCTGTAGTTCTTGACCAGGTTTGCACACACTGCAGCAGGGATTTTGGCCCACTCCTCCATACAGATCTCCTCCAGAGCCTTCAGGTTTCGGGGCTGTCGCTGGGCCACACGGACTTTAAGCTCCCTCCAAAGATTTTCTATGGGATTCAGGTCTGGAGACTGGCTAGGCCACTCCAGGACCTTAAGATGTTTCCTACGGAGCCACTCTTTAGTTGCCCTGGCTGTGTGTTTTGGGTCGTTATCATGCTGGAAGACCCAGCCACGACCCATCTTCAGTGCTCTTACTGAGGGAAGGAGGTTGTTGGCCAAAATCTCACGATACATGGCCCCATCCATCCTTCCCACAATATGGTGCAGTCGT